CCCGGAAAGTGTTATCTCGATGCGGAATATACCGGTCTTGTCCCTATAATGTTCTATTTTGTTAGGGATGCCAAAATTTAGTCTCAAACCCGTTTTGAACCGTTTTAAAATGGGACAGGACGAGATACATAATTATTTTCCTGTTTTGTCTCGTTGTCTCGTATATATGTATATATCTACTTATTTATTTATATAATGATATAACGCAAAAAATATTATGATTTTGTTTGTCTCAAAATAGATATAAAAAATATTCATATTCGACTATTATAAAAATGGACTAAAACTAGTACACCAAAAAATCTAGACCGTTCTAACCCGGTCCTCCCCAATTTGTGGCTCATAGTAAAAATGAAGCTTATAGTCTTGACTTTTTATCGTATGTTGTCAAGACTATAAGCTTCATTGGGATAATAACAAAGTAGGATAACCCAAACCCATTCCGTTTTATCTCGGTCCTTAATATTAAGGGATAAAGAGGGATAAGCTTATGGCCCAAACCGTTTTGAACTGTTTGAAAAAAACAGGACAAAATAATTTGAAAAAAACAGGACAAAAAAACAGGCCCAAACCGTTTTATCTCCACCGTATCGTTTTCTTAAATTCCTATTTTAGAAATGGATATACCCAAGTAAGATCGATATAAAATAATTTGGAAAGGTTCTCATGACGTTGAGTTTCAATGTCCCTGAATGACCCGAGCTTCAATTGAAGCCGCTACGAAGGTTCGTTCAAAAAATATGACCCACCATGTAAACCCACACCCCATCCCGACTCAAATCGACCCCTCCACCCCTTGAATTTCACTCCCCAATTTTAGTTGAATTTAGAGTAAAAAAAGACTCAAAATTCAACTAAAATTGGGGAGTACAATTGACGGAGGTGTAATGGTTGGTTCGGGTCAAATTGGGGTAAGGAGGTTTATTGAGGACGTTAGACAAGATATAATCCGTTTATTTTTCGAACAGACTTCCTGAAGAGTCCCAACTGAAGCTTGAGTCATTATATGACATTTGATTCCATGTCACATGACCCCTCCAAAAATAATTACGTGCGTTATAGAGTACTCCGTAGAATCTTGGAGAAATAATAAAAATGTACACAAACTAGTCAACTTTCCACGTAGTTAATACCCCTGAGAATTCGAGAAAGACGCCAATTTTGGACGAATTATTTCTCACATATCTAAACACGCGGCATTACTCACTTGAATGGAGAACATGCGTGAGCAGTGCACAACCCTGTGGTGCTGCTGTAGGGGAACAACGAGGGCGGTCGGACCGGCGGCAGCTCCGGAACCGGTTTGTCACCGTTCAGAAACTCCACCACTTCCTTCATGCTGGGCCGGCCTTTGTTCTCGTTCAACGTACAAAGCAACCCAACATCCATAACCCGGACCGCCTGCTCCCGGTTCACAACGAACCCCATTCGCCGGTCCACCAGTTTTTCCTTTTCCCCTTCCTCGTGCAACGCCCACGCCAAGCCCAGCAGATCCATTTCCCCCGGGTCGGACTTCCTCGGCCGACCCGACACTATCTCTAGTGCCAGCACGCCGAACTCGAATACGTCCGCCGTCTGGCTCACCGCCGATTCGAACCGAGTCGACTCGGTCCCGCTCAGCACGAACCCGAAATCGCCTACCACTGCTCTGAAGCTAACGTCTAGAAATACGCTGCTGGCCTTCACATTCTTGTGGGCTAGTTGCTTCGAGTGCACGAAGCTCAGCGCATCCGCCACGTCTTTCGCCACCTTCAACCGCCGCGTCCACGGCAGAACCCCGCCGCCGAACAGCCACCTGTCGAGGCTTCCGTTCGGGATGTAATCGTACACGACGATTGTTTCTTTCTCGTCGAAGCACCACCCTCTGACGGGGACCAAATTGGGGTGCCGGATCTTGCCGGCAGCTTTGATTTCCCGGTGCAATCGCCGCCGTCGATCAGGCCCGCCTGACTCGAAGAACTTATCGCAGTACCGCTTCACTGCCACGCCGCATCCGCGCAGCAGAATCGCCTTGTGCGTGACGCTCCTGGAATCACTGCCCAGAATCTGTGCCTGGCTGAAATTCCGGGTTGCCGATGAGATTTCAGTCAAACTGAACCGGCGAGCCTTGTTCGGTGGCGCCAGCCTCTGTTTCTTCTCCGATTTTTTGCCACCTGATTCGTCACCGGTTTTCATCCCGCCGGCGAAGTAAAGATTGAGCAAAACCGAGACCATAAGAATAAGCACAGCTAAGAAAATCAAGAAACTCGTGGGTGTTCTTTCGTGGGATTTCTCTTCTTCGTCAAATACTGCGTTTCTGCTTCTCTGTTGTAACAGTAATTTGTTCTCGCAGGTTTCGGAAGATGGAATTCTAAGGGAGGCTTGACTGTTAGAAGTGAAATTCCAAGACATGACGTTGTGGATTTGGGTGTGATTGCCGGTGGAAGCAGAGAAGCCGACGAACATATACTCGTTGAGGTAGGGGGAGAGGTCGAGAGAGCCCGCGTAAACCGGCTTAGAGGGGTACCCGTTGCGGTCTAACCCAAGCCGGATATCGATGAACCGGTGTGGGCCGTCGTAGCTTATCCAGGCTCGGTGAACGGACCCGTCCCGGAGAAAGACGCCAACCTCGGAGGCGTTAACGGCCGTGACCGAGACGATGCTTCCGAGGTTGATGCCGACATGATTGTCGCTCGGGTCGCCGAACTCCGGGTTCATCCGGGTGTCGAACTCCACCGCAACGGACCGATAGGCGTTGTCGCAGACGTCGTTGAGCATGCCGAGCCACGGGCCCGCCCTCCCAACAGTGAACTCGTCGGGAACTATGATGAACGTCAAACCATGGCCGCCTTGGGGGATTGTCGTTGCGTTCCCCGGCGAAGATTGGAATTGGAACGAGAACGTGGTGTGGAACGAAGCCGGGGTTCGGCTCGACGGGTCGTAGAGGCGGAAAGGAGCCGAATGGATCGCCCGGCCGGCGAGGTGCTTGAGATCGGAGGAGGGTTTCGGTATCTGGAGACAAGACCCGTGGCTCGAAACGGTTGCGCTCCCGAGAAGAGTTAGATGTTGGTAGATTCTGGGGTTGTTCCGGGTGCTGAAATCCGGGAAGGAGATGCGTTTGGTCACGTTGATCGTCGGTCCACTCTGGGCGGTGCCCGAAACAACGGGATCACCGGGGAACGTTACGAATACCAAGACGACGAGGAAAGGGAGCATGGTGATGCACTCCATCAATGGGGTTGAGGGAAGAAGGAAGGAAGGAAATAATATAAGAAAGGCTATATATCTTATTATAAGTTCACAAGCCACCCAAAAAAAAAAACAAATGCCCCACGCAAGACTCAAATCAAGCAAGCAAATGTTTTGACAAATTTTGGATATCCTCTTATTATCTCTGGGTGCACATGGCCCTGCAATGCATTATTATTTTATTTCTCTTGTGTGCTCTCTCACTCATTCACACAAACATGTCTCCCCAATTCTTGTGGGAGATGTCAATCATTGTCATCTATACATTTGACGCCTGTGGTTGTCACTAAGTTCGGCCCCCCACTAAAATTGATCACGCAACCTAACACTCTAAACACACAATTGTGTAGGCAGTGTGGACACTGCTAGAGTCTTGTTCACACTTGGCAGCACTTAAAGATTTAAGGCAACAAAATTAGTGACTTAGCTTCTTGAGTTGCCGAAGAGGATTCCCAATGTTATACTCCCTCCGTCCCGAAGTATTCCTCCAGTTTTGACTTTTGGAACTGTTCATCTAAGTACTTTGACTCGTCAAATTTTCTCAATGCATGTATAAGCCTAAATATAGTCATGTGTGATCTTGTTTGATTTGTTTTAACATATAGATTATTAATATATAATTTCTATAATTTTTTAATATACAAATTACAAGATAAAATGGATTAAAGAAATGTACTGGATGGTGTATAAAAATAAAAGTGGACAAAATACAAAGAATAATATAGAAGTATTTGAATTAATTAAAAAAAGCAAGCAATTTACTCCATAATATACTACGGAGTATTATAGTAGTAGAGTATTTTGAAAAATATATTATGCATTCCCAATTCTTTATAAGAACATGAACAATGGTGATTGGTGAGGCAAAAATCGAATGTCACACGCTGACGTAGAACAATTCAACCAATAAAAAACAGTTCAGTCAACGAGTGACAAGGGAATGGAGTGGTATGCTTTGCAAGGCAAGTCGTTGTTTTTATTATTCTTTTTTTTACTTTTTTCCGATATTTGAATTTTTTGAAGTTATTCGACCTGTTGATTTGATCATAAAAACATTTATATTAACTCAAAATTATTTAATTTATTTTTTTCATAAAAAAACTTGAGAAGAGAGAAGTCTGACGTGCGCCAGTGGTTTGCTCACTACAAAATAGAAGAAAAAAGTTTGACGTGTGTTGTAGCTCTTGACATCAATGAAGAAGAGATAAGTCTGACGTGCGCTGGTAGTTGCTAACGTCGAAGAAGAAGAGAAAGCTATCGGATGTGCCTGTTTGATTAGCATCCTTGACATTCTTTGTCTTTCTTTGGGATTCGAACATTTCCCTGTTTCTTTTTCTCAATTGTGAGAATTTTTATGACTTTTGTTAAATATATTGTTATTATATTTAATATTGTACTTATTGTAGTTACCTTATGTGTATAGGTTACCATTAATATGTTTCCTACCATAACTAACAAACCCTCTTGTATATATACACATATAACCTCACCTTTGTGATGATTGGAAATTAATTATTCTTCATGGTATCGGAGCAATAATCAATCACAGCTCCCCTCAAACCCTAACTCTCTCTCTCTCGGCTCTCTCTCAGCCGCCTCTCTCCCTCTCGGCTTTCTCCCTCTCACGACTCTCTCGCCGCCAGCAGTCCACCATGGCCGAGGTTTCTTCCATCTCCTCCGACAACAGCAACTCCTCCAAATCTCCCCACCTTGCCTTCACCACAATATCCAACATCAAGCTTCATATCCCTGTCCAACTCAGCATCTCAGAACCCAACTATAAGAAGTGGAGTCGTCTCTTCCGTCTCCTCGTCCTCCGCTTCAATCTCATGGGTTTTCTCGAAGGCACCACCAAAGCCAAATCCTCCGACGACACAAAATGGTTTCAATTTGATGCTCTTCTTCAAGGGTGGATCCTATCCACTGTCTCCGATGAAGTTTCAGATCTCGTCCTCGCCAACAGTCCATCCGCTCATGCCCTTTGGACGTTGATTCACAAACTCTTCCATGACAACAAACATGCTCGTGCAATGCAGTTGGAGCACCGTTTCCAAACAACTGTCAAGGGAAATCGGTCCATCAACGACTATTGTCATCTCCTCAAAAATTTGGCGGACTACCTTGACGATGTGGATGCTCCGGTAACCGAACATGCTCTCGTTCTCCAGGTCCTTCAAGGCTTGCCCCAAGACATTCGGGGCCAAGTGCACTTCCTGCAGTATCAAAATCCTTTCCCGACGTTCCTGGAAGTTCGTTCGGCCCTCCTCCTGGTGGAACAGCAGCAAACCGACGCCCTCTCCAACTCTGGGCCGCACACTGCCCTCCTTAGCACCGGCAGTGGCAGCGGCAACCACACAGCCGGCGAAGGCCAGCGGCGGCAGTCCAGCGGCGGCTCTGGACGGGGCTCCTACGGCGGTCAGAACAGAGGCAGCAACGGCAGACAGCGTGGACGCGGGCGTGGACGTGGACGTGGCCCGAATCAGCGTCAACCCATCGGCCTAAACCCTTGGCAGTTCACCAACCCATCCCCTGGCCTGTTGGGCCCTTGGCCCAACTACAGCCCAACCCACTACCAAGCCCAAGCCCACTTCACCCAATACCCAAACCCCCCTCCTACTCATATTACCCACCCGCACTACCCACTCCCACCCAATACCCGCCCAACTACCCGCAACCCACAACCCACCCGTACCCATCCCCACAGCCCACCTACACCACACCCACCGCCCTTGCCCATGGGTTTGAAACCCTTACCCTAAACCCGCACTCCACTTGGCTCATGGACACCGGCGCCTCCTACCACATCACCGCTGACCCAGGTACTTTATCTCATGTATTTTCATCAAACATTTATTCACCTTCTCATATTATTGTAGGCAATGGATCTAAAGTTAGCACAACGGGTACTGGAAACGGTTTCCTCAAAACCAACCCCCCTCTTTCCCTTAATGTCCTAATCTCACCCCATATTATCCATAACCTAATCTCTGTCCGTCAATTTACTCGTGATAACAACTGTTCAGTTGAATTTGACTCATCTGGTTTCTCTATGAAGGACAAAGTGACGGGAGCCGTGATTCATCGATCCAGTAGTGACGGACACCTTTACCCGATCTCCTCAGCCCGCCTCCCAGCTCAAGCAAACCTCACAACAGTCGACCTTCCTACCTGGCACCGCCGACTTGGCCATCCAAGCCCAGCTGTGCTCCGTGGCATTTCTTCTTTCTTAGATAGCAATAATAAATCCAAATTAGAATTTCTTTGTCATGCATGTCAATTAGGCAAACATGTTCGCCTACCTTTTTATTCTTCAAATCGTGTATCCCAGTTTCCTTTTCAATTAATGCATACGGACTTATGGCGATCTCCTGTTTCTAGTGTGACTGGATTTAAATTTTATATGCTTCTACTTGATGATTTCTCGCACTATCTATGGGTCTTTCCTCTACGTCACAAATCTGATGCCTATTCACATCTAATTCAATTTCATGCACTGGTCAAAAATCAATTCCAAACAACCATTAAAGCTGTCCAGTGTGACAATGGCACAAAATATCGCAACAACCCTCTCGCCACCTTCTTTGAGTTGTTGGGGATTCTCTTTCGTTTCTCCTGCCCCCACACCAGCCAACAAAATGGCCGCGCAGAACGCACCATCCGCACCTTAAACAACACCGTCCGCACTCTTCTTTTCCAAGCAAACTTACCTTCCCAATACTGGGTCGAAGCCCTTCATATGGCCACTCATCTCTTCAATATTTTACCCACCACCACCCTCCAAAACCGTACTCCCCATGAAGCCCTATATAAAACACCCCCATCATACACCCACCTACGCGTCTTCGGATGCCTTTGTTACCCAAATTTAACCGCCACCACCCCCCATAAATTAGCCCCCCGTTCTGCGTGGTGTATTTTTCTTGGCTACCCCGACTCCCAACGTGGTCATCGATGTTTGGATCTTACCACCCACAAAATAATTGTGTCACGCCATGTCACATTTGACGAGTCAATTTTTCCGTTTGCACTCCCACAATCCCCTTCAAACTACTCTTTTCTTGATGCTATGGAGGACAGC